GGTCCCACAGCCCAAGTCACGCTAGTGGCATAATGTTCAGGAATCATCTGGAGCACCTTGCAATAGTTTCCAAATGCAGCAAAGCTATGTCATGCAGTGCAAATAGAGATTTGAAAGCAGGCGGCCGTAAGGTAAGTTGAAGAGTTTGGCCGCAAAGGTGACAAAAGGTCTGCCGCTGACACCCGTAACATACACGGAGCGCTTCAGAAAGGGAGGGTGATCCTAGTCATATTGTTGGCGATTCTTCCCATCCAATTCTATAACTTTAATGCTCTACGTTCTCAGAAAGTGGGGACGCCGTTGCACTCGAACCTTCCCCGGCATAGCAGGCATAGGCGCATTTCCATAGGGTATTCCTCTGCATCGCCATGTGCAACCATTATCCTTCATTTGTCAGATAAACACGCTTCGTGGGATGTACATGCCTATAGCTGCAAAATAACCTTTGTTCACGCTCGCAGGGCACTAGGTACTGCGTCGGCCTCAAAGTACGCTGTATGTGCTTTGTAGGCCGTGGTGGTGTGCAGATCTGATCAGATGATGCTGACGGCCGAACCGTAAAGAGCCCGCTTATGCCTATGAACGACTCCGCTGGTAATTCGGGATTGGCTTACTCGAATGACATCTTGTTCGCAAATTATAAGGCCATTTTCTTCACCATATGAGGGAAATTATCTGTATGTTCTTAAAATGGTGTTGGTAGTTGCAAAGATTGAAACTATATCGGTGCGCTTGAAATGCGTGGATAAGGCTGGCGGCCGAAAGGTAAAATGTACGATTATGCCCATCAGCGGCCATACTAACTCGAAGAGAACTCACCTAAAATGCATTTTGTTCAGGAATAATCGCAAACACCCTGCAGTCGTTTCCAAACGCAGCAAAGCAACATCGCGCATTGAAATTGGAGAGTTCATATCAGAGGGCCGGAATGTCAATTGAAGAGTTGGGCTGCAAATGCAATACAAGATCCGAGGCACTCGAAAGACACTCGAAACATAGCCGGATGAATGCCTCAGAAAGTGAGGGTGCTCATAGTCTTATTGTAGTCGATTCTTCCCATCCATTGCCATAACGCTAATACTCTACATACATTCTCAGAAAGTGTCTAATGGTGAGGGTGCCATAACACTCACGGAACTCGCGTCTCAAGTCTAGGAGAAACTATTGCCATCTAAATCGTGTCAAAATGGTGTCCACCAGTGGTTGCACCGATGGACACTATTTTGGAATGTTTGTTAGAGACACATAATGCCGGTAGCCGAAAACGTTGAGTCAGTTCATGCCTTTCTCCGGCCCCATTGACAACTCAGCGTGGACACGTCTGAATGCCGTTGGTTCGTGGATCACTTGGACCTTCTTGCAGTAGTTTCTTGAGGAAGCCTGCTGGGAAAGGTGGTTTTCCGCCATTACCAGGTTCCCTAGTGATATGAAACGAAGACCATAACCCAGGTCACGTGACGTCATGAGCAGCACGTAAAACGCAGCTCATTTTCTAACTTCATCTTTTTTAAAATGGCATCATCATCAGAATGTAAACCACGAGTACGTAGGTCGATGCACGTACACCGTACCGGTCTCCCCGAACGTCGTGAGCAGTGGGAAAACACAGCCGAAAAACGTGTCCAACTGAAACTCTCCAACTGATGACTGATTCATTCATCCCAGCGACGTCATCAGTACGATGCAGGACCCTCGTCATTACGAATACCTGCTTGGTTTTCAATATTGTCATAAGTAGCTTGTGAATCCTTGTGATATCGTGAGAAGTAAAAGAAGTCCAATCTTCACATGTCTTCCAGTGACGGCATGAGGAGCACAAAACTTGTCATTGGAATGATTTACTCGGTCTGGCAGCGACGTTTCCTCAGCTGATTGGCCGGTCCTCATTAAAGACGTAAGTTTACAACCTACATGAGTTAGGTCAAATGATTCAATGCGTGCATTGCATTTCGATGAAATCAAATGAAAAATAGAACAGGAATGAGTCCAGAGATGAATCAGATCCCAGACTCTGTGAGCCATTCATTAGCTAACTCAAGAAATTTGAGCCGAACCCACACCTAATACAGACCACTACAGCCCAAGAACCATATTCCGTCATCTGCACTATCCGCAAGGCGATATACCTCAAGGCCGGTAGTCCAGGATGTATCAACACCATACTCATCCGGTAGAAAATGCCTTTCTGCAAATTAGGTGCACGCGTTTCTCCGGGCACGCTTCCTAACCGCTTGCCCATGCTCCTCACCGACCGCCAACCGACCGACTGCGTCCTAGAAGCAGCTCGCAATCAGATGAGAATTGGGATGCCAAAATGGTGAAGGTTTTCCACTCCCATAGAACGAAAAGAAAGTCACGACGTTCACCTCTAAAAAGCCTCATTTCCCCTGTTGAGCCTTGATTTACCGAACTGCGTTGCGTAGTATCTATGCGCGCTAAACTCTGCCAGTTTTAGCACGAATCGGTACTAGCCACGGCTTCCCTCTTAGCAAGGATATGTACTAACTAGGCTCGAGGACTGGTTGGACTATCGTAGAAGAGAATTCTAGCACATGGCTAGACTGCTTCCATATGACGTTAAAAATTATTTTTCAACTAAGGCCGTTGCGCCACATTTGCCGTTCGCGGACGTTGCGTGCTGAGAGTTAGGCGTGTTGGGACGCATTTCGTGGCAGCGGTCAGATTTGTTTTCAGCGGCATCAATTTGGTAAGCATTTAGCAAAACCTTAACGTGACATCGATGGGCGTTGCTTACGTCAGGCAGGGCAATATGTCGGGAGGGATATTTGCAGATCGTGGTTTCGGGAAAGGTTGAAATGTTTCCGAGAAATTGGGGCTTGATCTGGACAAAAACAAATGATACCGTTCCGAATGCGTCTGCGTTTTAAATGGTTGTAAGGAAACATCATGTTGAGTTAAGTTTCTCAGCCTATGGCCATGAACTTACACGGGAAGTTTGAGCCTGGAAGTTTGAGGCCAGGAGTGCAAGTAGCTTCTCAAAGTATGTTGAGGTGGCTAAGCATGGAGAGATTGATATATCTACTCTCATAGGAAAAACTGGCTCTTGCTGGGCATTGCTCTTTATAGAGGGGCTAGAGGGCAGGAGTCTTTCAAAAGAATAGGAATAGGCACCTTTGCTGCTGTCTTAGTGTCATTTTTTGTTTTACCCAGTCAGCTCAACTATTAAAAGTCTGCATGCCTTTCATACTCCTCTATGACAAATTTAACATGATATATGTTCATGCACTGCAACCAAGTCACACACATATATATATATATATATATATATATGCATATATATGTATATATATATATATATATATATATATAATATATATATATATATATATATATATATATAGATCAGTTATAGCAATTCAATAAAAATCAGTTGTGATTTAGATGTATAAAGTATTAATGGTAATTGGGGCTTGCGTCTCTGACTGCTAGGGCCAATTCAGTATGGATACTTTTATTAGAGTGTCATGTGAGGTGTGAAATTGGTGTGGCAGAGGCTGAAACCAAAGATCTACAGGTGCTAAGGCTAGCACTCATCCACTTTACCACCACCATTCTCATGCAGGAAGTATTATGCACCACCACTCAATGCTTGTCATGTCATGCTACAGCAGGGGAACAGCCAGGGTTGTTGCCAGAGATTTTGTGGCCATGATCATCAGAAGCCACAAAAGACTTGGTTACAGCACAACCATTATGTTATCACATTGGTTTGATCAACATAAATAATAGTTGGCCTACTACATAATTTCTTGGTTATTATATACAGGAGAACCCTCATAACCCAGAGACCAAGCTGTGTTTTTGAGATTCAATGACTGTATGTATAAGAAATAGCTACATCATGCCTATTTTACCATCATCTATTAAAGGTATTGCATTAGAAGGATGGGTCAGAGTTTGCAGATAAGCTAATGCCTACCATCTGCAAAAGAAAACCTGATGTTTTGTTATCACAACTACTCACCCCCACAATTAATAGCTTTGTCAGAATTAGTAGGTTATCTAGTACCTGTCATCTAGAATAGACAAGCTGGCCCTATGTGATGCAAACTAGTCATTCACAAAGTTATCAGTTTTCCCCCATCACTGCCCAGCACACCCATATGAGCCCAGTGGTCAATGGTTGACCCTTGGGAGTTCAATCCTGGTGATGCTTTTGTTGTGTCCTGACTCGGATCCTACCTTGATTCGCCAGCTGTGTAACTACATGGACTCAGTCATGTGATAGATGTCAGGTAGAGGCAGACTGGTCCCCCTACTGGCACAATGAATGCCGATTCCAGATGTGTGTGTCTGTCATGCAATCGTCTGACTTGGCACCCAAGAACAACTCAAGAGAATTTGAGATGGGTTGCCTCCATGGCTTTGTGTCATGTGTTGAGGTGCAATTCACATTAAAATGCTACACAAATTCTGTGTTTTAGAGTTTTGTGGGGTAATCTTGTGATGTGATGGACCCATGTGTCCATAAATGCATGAATGGTGGTAATATCAGGCAAGCTGGCAAAGTTTGAGTGCAGAACAAGGCCATAACCACCATACCATAATAGTACTGCCTCCCCATTCATTTCAGGAAGCTTCACCATCACTGAAGAATGCTAGCACCCAGCTGCATATAAACCTGCAGCCAGTGATGCAGAGCAGCGACACACCAGTGACGTCCCAGTTCGACATGTCATCGCCGGCAGCGCCGCCCGTGCCGCAGGCCTCCTATCACATCGAGGTCTCCTCGGGGGACGCGCCGGCAGCCGAGGCGTCGCCGGCGCGGCCGGGGCCGGCCTCCCCGCGCGCCGGCGCCGGCCGCGCCGTGGTGCTCGTCCGGCCCAGCTCGAGCGTGCCGCTGCAGGTGTCGCCGGCCGGCGGAGGCACCGCCGCGGCGCCGGCGCCGGCCGCGCCCGGCAGCCCGCGCGTGCGCTACGTGCTGACGGGTCTGCAGGGCAGCCTGCCGGCGTCGGACAGCGGCGCGGCCGGCTCGGCGCCGCTCCGCTCCCCGGCCGCCATCATCGCTGGTGAGGGCCAGCGTCGCCCAGCGCGCGTCAGCCGTCTTGCGCGGCGGCACCGCAGGCGGCCGGGTGGGGTGGGCACGGTCTTGTTAGTTGTCAGGCGTGGAGTCATGTTTTAGGTGGTGTACTTCGTGGGACATGTCTCAGGTTGGCTTGTGGGTTTGTCCTTTGGATTGGGTGAATTGCGTCAGGAGCAGGATGCGTCTTTAATTCATATGTTTCATCAGTTTGGATGCTTAAAGTATGGAATGCAATGCCAGGTACTTGAAGAACAAGAACTATCTTTGATTTGGATACTTATCAGTTTATAGCTTTCAAGAGTAATGGCGACGTTTTCGTCTTTTTCCGCAGTCGCCTGCGATTTTTAGCATGCTTCGCCTGTTGTAACCCCAGTATCTACGCTCAAAACACCGTCATCAGTGCCAGCACTTCCCAGCGCTGGCGTCGCTCGGAGGGCCACGCGCGCGCTGCTCTGCGGAGCGTGCGCGGCCCTCGGCGCTCACCGTCAGCTCACTCGCTCTCCCCGCGACAGGCCAGACGACCTCGGCGACGCGCGCCCGCCAGATCCTGAAGAAGCGCTTGGAGCTGAGCCAGGCCGAGAAGCGGTACGCCAAGCTGGTGCACCCGGACGTCGCCGGTGCCGAGCGAGACGGCAACACGGCGCCGATGCCCGTCGTCATCTGCGAGCCGGAGGGTGGCGCCACGCCCAAGGCCGGCCGCACCTTCTTCTTCGTGGCCAAGCCGCCGGTCGAGGTGAAGGAGGAGCCGGGGCACGAGGTGGAGCGCGCGCCAGCGCCGGTGGCGCCGGCCGAGCCGGAGCCGGCCGCCGACACGGGCGTGTTGAAGCGGTTGGCCAAGTACCAGCTGTCGGAGAAGTACGAGATCCTGCCGGCGGCCAGTCCGGACGACGCCGACGACATCATCCATCGGCTGCGCCTGCAGAGCCTCGCGCTCAAGACGGAGCTGGTGCGCATGGCGACCGAGTACGAGCGCGACAGCGACGAGGGTGGCAAGGCGCGCCGCGGCCGCAAGAAGGTCTCCACGCTGGTGGCCGTCGACCGGCTGCGAGAGCTGGAGAAGATCGAGGCCGGCATGCACAGCCTGTTCACGCCGTCGCAGGTGAAGGCGCTGGCGCGCGACTACAAGAAGAACAGCGTGCAGTGGCGCGACGAGGACTTCCGGCGCGCCCTTGGCCTGCTCGAGGCCAGCTCGGTGCGCGCATTCAACTACGTGCGCAAGGAGATGAACGTGCCGCTGCCCAGCATCGGCACACTGAAGCTGCGCTGCCCGCTGCAGCCGGAGCTGCACGAGCGGCTGGACGCGGCGCTGCGCGACTCGCCGGCCGACGCGCGCTGCAAGAACTGCAACCGGCGCGCGTCGACGCTGCAGACTGACGCCGGCGACGCGGCTGATCAGAGCTACCAGCAGCTGGCGCCGGTGGAGGCGCAGCCGGTGGGCGCGGCCGCGTGGAGCCCGACGCGCGGGGTCATGAAGCGCCGGCGGCGCGCGCCCGCCGCCAAGAAGGCGAAGCGCGCCGACGCCGAGCCGGTGGTGTACTTCGAGGACGCGGCGGCGGTGCCGGCGCCCCGTGGCCGACCCGCCGCGCGGCGCGGCGGCAAGGCGGCGCGCCGCAGCGCCGAGTTCCTCACCGAGTTCGACCCGGAAGAGGACGCCGAGGAGGAAGAGGACGAGGACGAAGAGGAGTACGAGGAGGTGGAGGAGCAGGTGGAGGTGGACCCGCAGGAGGTGCCAGTGGAGTTCGCGCGCTTCCGCCACTCCTACGGCGGCGGCTGGAACGAGTGGGACCCGCGGCAGTTGCAGTAGGCCCCGCCGCAGGTCGGGGTCACACTGGACCGGGCTGTGGCGCCCGACAGGGGCCGCTCTGGTGCGGTCGGGTCAGCTCGGCCGTCGGCCATTGGATCCTGAAAGGCGCCCGTGCGCTGTCGTGCATTGTCGTTTCTCATCAGCGTTACTTTGCGTTTCGTTCATTCTTAGCGTAGTGCTGTGGCTGAAGCAAGTGTTCTCTCATGCTTAAAAACGTCATTCGAAACAAGGTACATGCGTCAGTTCCATGCCATGGTGACCAGGCAAAAGGAACAGACATTTGGCAGCAAAACATGTGGTCGCAAGATGCAAGATTTCTTCCGAATGAGTTGCCCACGCTGCCTGTCGGGACTCCTTGTTTGTGACGTTATTTGCAGTGTTTCAGAGCTGAGGTGTGTGGCCAGTCCGACCTTCGCTCCGTAATAGTCCGGTGGTTTGGACGTCAACAGGTGGGCACGTACAAACTGAAAAGGTACCCCTGCTGGGCCTTGGAGCTGTGATGCGGTGGCGTCTGGGATATATGCTTACCTCCCGGTTCCGGCGGAAAATGTGACGTGTTCTTTAAAAATGAGCTCTTGCAACCGAACATTTCCTGCGTAGCGTCATTTGGAAATGGTGGCAGTTGGTAGTAGTTTTCCGGGAGCGCCCGATGCCGTGGCGTCAGTATGGTTGTGCATCCCGGCACTGCTTGTCCTCCACATCTGCAGTTGCTGTCCGCCGAAGCTTTGGCAGGCAGTGTCGAGAGCGTCCCGCATCTGATCATCCCGTGCATCTCATCTTGCTCTCCATGCAGTGCGAATTGTATAGTGGGCCTGGCGACGTACCCGCAACAGATGGCAACTGGGGACCGGCCTGAAGCGTGTCACCTGCGACTTCATGCGCGCCGTGCCGTGCATGTGCACAGCCACGCACTGAGCTGCGTGGATGTACATTCGCAGGTGGTTTGAACTGTCGCCACTCCACGTCGGCTGGGGGCGTGACATCGGCCGTGAGATGTGTGACCCGTTCAGCCGGCACGTGGGCGAAGTTAGGCCTTGCTGGCGGCGACATTAGTTTGTTTTCGCGGGCTACAGTTAACCCCTGCACGCTTCAGTGGCCTTCGTTTGTCCCGAAATGACTTGCGATAGCGGAAGCGAATTGATGTGCGCCCGACTTTGGGTAGAACTGAACAATAAAGCTGCAGCATTTCCTGCGTTGGCTTAGCTAACGTGTCGTTTGCGATTTAGACTCGGTCCAGTTCAAGGCATCAAGCGTGCATTTTATGGACGTTTTGGATGGGTGGAATGGGCACATTCAGGGGCTCTGGCTGGTGTTCGTGCGGGTGCATCCCACGTCTCATAAGCGTAGCCGTTCATTGATTGTGCGTCCGCGTGCTCCTCTGGTTTCGTTCGGCTGTCTGTACCTTACATGGGCGGAAATAAAAGGCCACCGTCATGTTTTCACTGTCTGGCAGTGGGCTTGGCGAGGATACATTACACAATGTATGCCGGGTTATCTTGTGTCACGCATATCGAGCTATAGATGCGGCGTTAGGTTGGCTGGTAACACCACGAGCCGCATCAAACTTACAGGTACGTGGTCGCAGGGGAAGGCCGGAATGGTCGATATGTGACTGCGGTCGGGACGCCCCAAAGCCGGGGTAGTCAGAGACGGCCAGCTGGACGCCGGGCAGGCGTGTTGAAGAGGAAGGTGTGGTGTTCAAGCGGCACAAGAGCACGCATTCCATTTGAGAGTAGGCAGAGCCATTGGGGTGTTTTGGTGATTGGCGTGTTCCGTAAGGTAAACTGAAAACACTTAACAGCCAGGAGTGACATGTGGTGTTGCGTGTAGGCCGATCGGAGAACACTGACATGCCGCAGTTGCTTGGTGTGTTCCAAAGGAAACAACAATCACAGCCAGGGGCGACACGTCATTTTGCGTGCAGACCCAGCGAAAGGACCCGACATTCTGCGGATGCACGATATGTATACACGCACCTATGGCCTCCACCTGCGAGCCGGCCCCGCGCAGGGACCCGTCTTCGGATTGTATGCGGGCGTTCGTTCGGGGCTCTCGCCGGGTAGGTACTTAGCCGACTTGTGGCTGACAGCCGCGGCTTGCCCCGGAGGGACAAGGCGAATGGCTCTGGATAAAGTGGTGAGCAAGGGAAGCAGGGTGGCTCATACTGACATTTGACACGCTGTGGATGTTCATCTGTAACGTTCGGCTCTAAATCAGCCGCGGAAGTTAGACGCTATCCCATCTCATATGAATCAAACGCTTTAGCCGTATTCGTTACGTGTGTTATGTATGCCATGCATGTGGAAGCCCGATCAATCTCAAAATTATTGTCTGGGCAGTTACTTTACCGTCCAGCAATCAGCTCTGGACTTCTTTGGGACTTATTTGGAGCCGATAGCACACACGCATCTTCAAAATTTCCCACAATCATTTCAGGTGGGTGAGCGCACTCCATCTTCCAAACCGTAAACTACAACTTTCAAAACAGGCCACTACATCGATCCCGGCGCTGCCGGCGCCGCCTGGCCTCGGGCGCCGGTGGCAGCGCGCGGCCAGCCGGACGCCCGCCAGACGCGGTCCGAGCGTGGCGGGGGGTGCGCGTGTGGCCGGGTGTGCCGTGCTCCAGCCTTTGTGTCCGGTCAGTGGACGGCTCGTGCGGGGTGTCCTGTGGCGGCCGTCCTCAGCCGAGTGTGGCGGACGATGCGCGACGCTCTGGCGACGGCGGTGAGCGCTGGTCGGTGCTAAACTGTGGCGGGAGCGCGTGCGACAACTGCTCGAGGCCATGACCGCCAAGAGCGGAGCCGACGAGTTCATGGAGGGGCCGCTTGCCCTCTGGGTAAGTTCTCCGTCGGGCGGCGTGGTGCAGTTTGTGCTCGTCTTTAGGGGCGGTCACTTCGAATAGCCGGTCCCGTGAAGCCGCGCTGCCAGCATCGCGCTGGTTCTCATGACGGACCGGTGCTCGTGTGAAGGCGCAATGAACTTGAAGTGAGCGAGTTCACATATTCGTGTTGAAACAATGTGGAATCGACTTCTGTGAGAGTCCCGGTGGGCGTTCAAAGCCTACTCAAAATTGTGCTGCATCCTTCGGAGTCAGAATCCACCCAAATATTCCGAGATTCTGAGTCTTATCGGTCCTACTGCAGAGTGGAATCGGGCATAAACCTGTATCCCGGGTTTCGTGTTTGTGCAAACCGCCTGTCGATTCCAATTGTGGCATATGGAAATAGGCCCGACGGTGCGGCGGAACCGAACTCAATAGCTTGCACGGCACGATTTATGTTGCAATAGCCAACTGAACCCCGCACCGAACTGTCTCGCCCAGCTGAACCCCGCATTGAACTGCCGCAGTTCAGCTATGAGGGCTGAGTTTATTGGCGCTGAATGTTCCGTTGTTTGACGCTGAGGAATGCAACATTCCGGACTCGGATGCTCTCTTTCCATTTGCGCATTGTCATCTGCCACCTGCATGTAACTGGGTCATGTGTTGCCGGTCGCGCACTCATGACCCAGACGTGGTCTGAGCCTGCAGCGGTGGCGCATTGCTTCGTGTAAACGTGGCATGCATGTGGATTGGATCACAAATACGCAGTGACCTTGCGCAGCGGGCCCCCGATGGTCATGGAGGGATTTGCGTGGTGTTTAGTGCCAAGAGCCGCGGACTGGCCTTCACGAAAGTTAGCGCCGCCATGCATGGCAAACTCCTGAATACTCCAGCCCATATCGTTAGCCAGTAGGAAAAACATGGGCTCTCCGTCCGGCCTCTGTGGGTTTACGACCTGTTTTTACGTGATTTTGTCACTAAACATTACGCGATCGTGCTGCTATTGGGTGTAGCCTTGTGGTAATACGCTCGCGGCGCCACGCCGTTAACACTCGGCCTTCAATGCGACCCGTTACCGCGCCGACCACGGTTGTGACCTGGCTGGCAGCCGAAGCCCAGCCGGACCCTCCAACAAGTAGAATCGCGCCGCTCACAGGGCCGAGTCCCTCCTCCAACGCCCATGCACCGGTCTCGCGCGCGCCCGAGCGAACGAGCCGGGCGCTTCAAACCCATCGCGTGTCCAAAACCCGGCTGACTGGTGGCCGGCCGTCGATCAGCGCCGAGCCCCCTGACCGGCCGACCCTGCGGAGCCCAGGCTCGGGCCGGAGCTCTGGGCGAGGGCTGACCGGATGTCAGCACACGAGCCGTCTCCACCGGGCGCTGACGGTGCGTGGCTGCTGACGTCAGAGCGCGGTCCCGTCCGGCCGGCCCCGCGGGCGCCGCGCGGCGCTCCCACGCCGCCGCCAGGGCCGGAACCGGGCGGTACCGGCTCGGGCGGCGGCGGCCGACGGCGCCTCTCGCTGGCGCACACTCACCACCGGCCTGACGCGTGTGGTAGCGGCCTCACAGGTTCTCCGGATCGAAGGTGACGCGGCAGGGGGAATGGCCAGTGTCCTGATCATGTCAGGCTGGCGAGACACCTTCCCCCTTGCAGGGTGGGGAAAGGGACGCAGCTGGGGCCACACAGGCATGCCCGCAATTTGGAGATCAGTCGAGGTCTGCGATCTGCGCTATGCAATTTTTGCTGGTGAATAGACAGCCATGCATCCACTGCGTTCCTGCATCCGCGTTGCTGTGCTGGGATTGCGAGACCTCGCCAGCCGCTGGAATGTCGGGGGACGACTGTGGTCGGCCCTTGCTGACAAGAAGTCGATTCTTTCGGTATTCTTACGCGGACTTAATGTTGTCGCGAAGAAGCGTGGTACCTCCGCGGCAATAACAGCACGGCATGCATCCACAGTCAGGGCTCTAACCATGCGCTATTATTCAAGTTGTCTCCGATGGGATCCATATATTCATCCATCATTCATAGCGGGCGAGGATACATGAGATCCTCGCCCGCTAATGAGAGGGTTTCCTGTGCCCAATCCTCGATCACTTGATCGCCCATATGCACCGCGTTCACTCGCTCGAGCTAAGAGCTGCTGCGGTGTACGTTGGAACGACGATAGCTGTGCTGCGGCGATGCACCGCGCCGATAGCCTCACTCAGTGGACTCCCCGGCGGTGGTCGAGCAGCCCCCCCCCCGCCCCTCTGCGATGACATGACCAGATCCCGACCTGCCGACGCTGGTCCGCGGTGCCCCCCCCCCCCCCCCGTCCGGACGGCCGGCGCCCGTCGCCCCGGCCGTTTAATGTGCCACCCGTCGTAATTTCCTGCCAGATCCCGACCTGCCGACGCTGGTCCGCGGTGCCCCCCCCCCCCCCGTCCGGACGGCCGGCGCCCGTCGCCCCGGCCGTTTAATGTACCACCCGCCGTCACTTCCTGTCGACGCTCGCCAGCCGCCCGGCGGACCGGCGGGGCGCCGCTGGCCGGCCGGACGGGAAGGGCGCCACGGCCGCTGCCCGCGGACAGTGGACACGGGACCGCCTGCCGCTCCGGAGCCGGCTGCGGACTCTGTCCCCGGCAGAGCTCCGCCCTGGGCTGGGACGTCTGCATCACCCGCGCGAGGGGCGGCGGCGCCGAACGCGCAGCCGTAGCGTGGGTGGAAATGTCGGAGCGTGTGCGGATGTAACGCACACGCCCGACGTATGCTGGGTGGACGCGGGGTAAACGTAGGGTCATTCGGGGTAAGCATTAGCCTCCCAGGAGTTTCCCAGGGGCCCTGATAAATTTAGGATGCATCCGCAGAGTGTTTGACCTCAGAAGTCTGAGGGCCTTCCTCACAGAAACCCCAATCGGATTTCTTGGACAAGGGCAGTAGGCCCCTCAGGTGCTGTTTTCTGCGGTTTAGCGGTAAAGATGGGTGCCTGATTATTTCAAGTTTTTGCTTTTCTGCACATGAAGAAACGAAAGTGCAAAAGGCATTTACCTTTTCTGAGACCGTTGATGCTATGTAAAACATGCAAAACATCTTCCAATTTTCTCTTGATATTTACGCCCATGCTTTTGCACTTACAACCGCAAATGTGACAACAGGGGTGCAGTAAGCCAAAATGCGCCGCTTAAAACGGCAACACCAGGAGGCTGTTAACAAAGACGGAGGCCGTTAGAACCAATAACGCAAATTCAAATTTGGCGTCCCGCCAGTCGCTACCGTCCAAGGCGGCCCTCAAAGCTTGCATGGTTGTCGCCTTTGGTAAGACTGCGATCATCTCAAGGCTATGTCCGGTGATATTTTCCTGCGTAAACCCTCTTGACACTTTCCTTTCGGAATAACTGCTGTCTACTCCATCCCAGTAAAAGAAGCATGCATGCACATTGCCCATTCTGGAGGTGAGGTGTAACCCAACCCTTAGAGAGAACGGGCAAAACAAAGCAACAACAACAAAAACAGCGCCTTGCCAACAATGCAGCTATATCACGCTACCCGCAGTCCCAAACCGCCGATCGATTTTATCGAGCGGCTAGAATCCGCCATCGATTTTCCGCCGCCGCCGGGCGAGAGTGGTCCGCGCGGCGCGGCGCGGCGAGGCCGGCGCAGAGCTGAGCCACGCGGCGAATGTGACGCGTCGCCTGCCGCGACTCAGCGCCGTCTCGACGTGGGCGATCGTCGGCCGTCGGCAGCAGTCTCTCCAGCCTCGGCCGCAGTCTCTCCAGCCCCGGCCGCAGTCTCTCCAGCTTCGGCCGCAATCTCTCCAGCCCCGGCTGCAATCTCTCCAGCCCCGGCCGCAGTCTCTCCAGCCCCGGCCGCAGTCTCCAGCACCGGCCGCAGTCTCTCTAGCCCCGGCCGCAGTCTCTCCAGCCACGGCCGCAGTCTCTCCAGCCCCGGCCGCAGTCTCTCCAGCCCCAGCCCCGGCCGCAGTCTCTCCAGCCCCGGCCGTAGTCTCTCCAGCTTCGGCCGCAGCCTCTCCAGCCCCGGCCGCAGTCTCCCCAGCCCCGGTGGCAGTCTCTCCAGCCCCGGCCGCAGTCTCTCCAGCCTCGACCGCAGCCTCTCCAGCCTCGGCCGCAGCCTCTCCAGCCCCGGTCGCAGTCTCTCCAGTCCCGGCCGCAGTCTCTCCAGCCCCGGCCGCAGTCTCTCCAGCCTCGACCGCAGCCTCTCCAGCCCCGGCCGCAGTCTCTCCAACCCCGGCCGCAGTCTCTCCAGCCCCGGCCGCAGTCTCTCCAACCCCGACCGCAGTCTCTCCAGCCTCGGCCGCAGCCTCTCCAGCCCCGGCCGCAGTCTCTCCAGCCCCGGCCGCAGTCTCTCCAGCCCCGGCCGCAGTCTCTCCTGCTGCAGTCTCTCCAGCCCCGGCCGCAGTCTCTCCTGCCGCAGCCTCTCCAGCCCCGGCCGCACCGGCCGGCGGTCGCTCGACTTGTGGTCGGGATTTAACGCGCCGCCGCCGCCGTCCATGGGGCGCCTCAGCCGCTCTCAAGGGCCGCTGTTCAGACGCTTGCGGCCGATGGCAGCCGAGATGGGGTGTCGGCGCGGGGATCGATGGTGTTTTGTCCGGGAGGCTCGAGTCCGCGGGCCGCTGCGGGCCGGCCACGTTCAACCTGCGGCTGGGTGAGGTCGCATGACGACACTGGTATGCGGAGTGTTCAACAGCGCTGGGTCATGATTAACGTTGGCTGTCTTTCACCTTCGCTTTCATGACCGGCCGGGGGTGCGCCAGTATTTGTTCGTTAAGGCGGCCAAGGTTTTGTGGGGGCTGCGACGCTCGTTAGGCACGACAATCGAGGGAGCGCTTTGTGCACGTGGTCAGGCTGCATTTACGAATCTGGCATGAGGACTTCCCACGGTCTGGACTGTCTTCTTGCCATGCGGTCACTACGGCGGGGCGACATTCTGTGAAAAAGTCCCCAGCTGTCAGCCTTGTGCAACCAGGTACATTCTTTCTCAACGATACCCGTTTGGATCACTCGGGAGCTGACGGAACCCATGTCTCTTTCAGATCAAGACGTTCCAGGATGATGACTATCCAGAGGTCACGTACAGTGACCTCGTGGACGGTCTGTTCATGCAAGATGTCATGCTACAAATGTGAGTATCTCGCGCATTGTATCAGCACCTCGGTGTCCTTGACTCCAGACAATATATGTGCGTTTTAAAACTGGAGGCGTGTCGAAGCAGGAACCGGAAGAGGGTGGCGGACACGAATCCCTAGCCTAGAGGTTAAAAAGACGTTCGGTCGGATGCAGATATATCAGAGCAGGGTGGCCAGTTTTCTGTCAAAGACAGTAAATAACCTATCCTCCTAAGTTTGTGCTTGGTGCACCCCTGGCTAGAGCAATAAATCCACGCTGGCCTGAAGGCCGAACGTAGCTATTCAGTACCCGTGGGTGGTCGCAGACAGACTTCTATGGAAGCCGGCGCCCGAGCCTGTGGCGAGCCCTGTTGGGCAGGCGTCCAATATCGGGATCTCTGTGGATATCGCGCTGTGTTTTTGTCGCCCAATTCTGCTGAAATCCGGCCGGGAAGTGGGATGATTGGGTTAAAATTCTCAGCGGCCTGGCACTTCGATCGAACAAACGCGATGTCAGCCAACGACTCATATGCCAGCCGGTGCACGGTGCGGCAATACCAGGGCTGATTCGCGTTCCTTCTAAAGGCTATCAAGATCAATTCAAAATCGATACCGTTCCGATGTCGTGCTATAAAAACCGGCCGACGCGGCGCCTTCCAAGCCACGCTGCTCATGGCTGGCTGGCCGCGGCACGCCGAGCGTCGCTTGGTATGCCAGGTGCTGGGGCCGGTGACGTATAAGCCCCGGACAGCCAGCTCGGACAGCCAGCTCCGGACAGCCAGCTCGACCCCGGACAGCCAGCTCGGCGTGCGCCACATGCAGCAGACCTGTAGCACCTCAGGCTGTGTCTGCCCACTGCCAGACGACAGGCGTGGCCTCTGGAAATCAGGCCTGATTTTCCGCACGTCTGCGGTTTCCTCAATGGGAGGCTGGAGTGCCCTCAGATTTTTGTTGCTGTTGTTTTTTCTTCTGTCGAGTGGGGACAGTTGCGCCTGTCAATACAGCCAAACCGGTTGGCGAGCACTGCTGTCTGAGGGGGTTGTCTCGTCCGCTCTGAAGGGTCCCTCCGCCCCACCTGTCTTTTCCTTCGATGGACTCGTCCGCCCGTCTTTACTGCTCCGAGGGAGTCGAACAGCTTTACTGGTGAATGGCTGAGGGGGGCGGGGCGCAGATGCCCACAGAAGCTGCGTGCGTGAACCGTCGCGCAGCCCGCCGCGTGACCCGTCGCGCAGCCCACCGCGTGACCTGTCGCGCAGCTGACCACGTGACCCGCTGCGCAGCTGACCACGTGACCCGTCGCGCAGCTCACACGCGACCCGTCGCGCAGCTGACCACGTGACCCGTCGCGCAGCTCACACGCGACCCGTCGCGCGCTGGTCGGTCGTCCGCCGGCGCCACCGCAGAGCTGCCCGCCGCTCACCCGTCACGCTACCTCAGCGGTCACGACGCGTCACGTGACGACCGCGGCGCCGCCGCTGGCCGGGTCACGTGGCCAAGTGGTCACGTCAGGCGGCCGGTCGCTGACACAGCCGGCGGCCGCAGCGGCCGGTTGAGTCTCCCGACAGCGACCGCGCATCACGTGACGCCCGAGCCGAAACCGCGGCGGCTGCGGCGGTCGGGACCCGTGACCCGTGGACGCCGCACGGTCCACGCGACGGGTCACAGAGAGCGGGTGGCGCCCGGTGGTCGGCCTTCAGCGCCGCGGGGGCGCACGGCCGTCTCCGCCGGCCGAGCGGCGCGCGCGCGGCCGACGCGTCAGGTCGCGACGTGGCAGCCGGTAGCATGTGTCCCGCGTAGATGCAGCAGTTGTTGGACATCAGGACGTCATGTGCTGCGCCTGCGTCACACCGGAGTGTTCTGTGACACACTGGAGTAGGACGCGACTGGTGCCTCAGCAGAGCCGACCGTGCGTCAGGTCAGGGAGTCCCGGTGCGGTGCGAGGTTCCGGCCTCTTCATCTCAGTAGTGCCTGCTTGACCCCGCTGCGCTGCCGGACGGCGGGCCGTGTCCCCGGGACCGTGTCTGGGGACGGGACGGGCCGGCCGACGCCGTTCCCGCCGCGACCGGTGCAACAGCAGCACAGTTAGGCGACCGCGGGCGCCGGCGCCACACTACAGCGGGCGCCCGTGACGCCACGGAGCGCGGAACGGTCCCAGGTGGAGGAGACTTGTGCGGAAACAGCCTCAGGTGCAGGAGACTCGCGCGGGGAACAGTCTCAGGTGGAGGAGACTTGTGCGGGAACAGTCCCAGGTGGAGGAGACCCGCGCGGGGAACAGCCTCAAGTGGAGGAGACTCGCACGGGGAGTGGTTCCATGTGGAGAAGACGCGTACAGCACCGGATGTGCAGCAGTGGCCTGGTGGGCTTATGTCGACTCGAGAGTAGCATTTCTGATGTGGCGAGGAAGGCGGCGTTTGCGGTTTCATGGCTGTGGCGTCTGCGGCACACAAGTGTTCCCTTCAGAACCGACGCATGAAAATATTGGGTCGATGTAAGCGGGCAAGAACAGGGGATGAGGGACATTCTGATGTCGGCCTGGGAGACAAAGCTTTTTAAATCGGCGACAATTTCCAGACGCCAGTTGCATGCAAGCGGCCTGTTCGCAATTCACCTTGCTCTGCAGAGCGCACGAAGGTAGACTGTTTACGGGCATTGTCGCCAGTCATCGGTGGGGTCATTTCACAGCGTCTGCTCGTAAAGGTCGCCTCAGCGCGTTAGTGACGTCACTGGAGCGTGCAGACAATCGCGCTGGTCACGTGACGGTGCAGGTACCGGCCGGCGGCGGCCGGAGCGGCGTGTCGCACGTGGCGCCGGCGGCAGCGGAAGACGATGGGCGCCATTAACGCCGGCCGATGCAGCAAGGTTGCGAGTGTTTATTGAGGTTAAATCTTCATTGCTGATCACTTTCCTGAGAAAGTTGATCATGAGGTCACAATTAGATGCCGCACCCGCGGCTGATCGTGCAGCAAAGCGTAGGAGCTTTCGGGACATATTTACATGGAGTGTCAAAGGTAGCAGCTTTGTGATGCGTTTATCAGTGAGAAACAGGCGGCTGGACACGCGGGCAGATAGCGCCGAGATGCGCGGCCCTACCACCAGGCGGCGCTCTCGGCGTGTCGGCGCAAGCCCCGCCGGCCGGAGCGCAGCCGCCGAGGTTGAACGAACCCGGGCCGCAGAGGCCGACGCGGCAGCCGCTGGAATGCCACGGCGACAGCGACGGCCTTCAAAACCATCTTCGTCATCGAGAAGCCGCTCTGACGGATCGCGACGGGGATGAGCCGGCCGGGGCGGGCCTGTCGCGCTCCTTTGTGGCGCGGCCGGCGGCCGGCGGGTCCGACCACGTCCTGCAGAGCCGCGGGTCCGGGTCAGGGTCGCTCCACGGCCCACCGTCCACGGACACGCACCCTTGAGCTGCCGCCGGGTTGACCCGTTCAGGCCGGCGTTGACGGCATGACTCGGACTCCAGCTGATGCTGGGGCGATTCTCTCTCCCTGGCTGAGAGAGAGACCGATGGGTGCCTTTAGCAGGGCTGAGGAGTGGGGATGGGGAGAAGGGTGAGAGGGGAGGGGAATGTGGCGCCGTTACGGCAGGGGTCCGCGGGTGATCGGCACGCCCCGGTATGTGATGAATATGTCAAGGCCCCTCCTTTGAACAGGGCAATGTAAAGGCCGTGGGTATGTACAGCCATGCCATAAACCATCGATATCTGCCAGAATCAAGGCAGCTTACCACGGCATGGTGCATTCTTGTGCAACACCGGGAGATTTCGCGCATCGGGAATAGCGGCGGTTAAATAAGAAGCTTCCATTAAACCGCAGCAGCAGGTAGCTTGATGCCACAGGTTGGCCCTCGTCCCGTGGACCACTCACCGGACCTCTAGACCTCGTCTGGGCCCCTGAAGACCGCTGACCGGATCTCTGGACCTCCTCTGGACCCCTGAGGACCGCTGACCGTATCTCTGGACCTCCTCTGGACCCCTGAGGACCGCTGACCGGATCTCTGAACCTCCTCTGGACCGCTGAAGACCGCTGACCGGATTTCTGGACCTCCTCTGGACCCCTGAGGACCGCTGACCGGACCTCTGGACCGTCAGTGGTGCAGGCCTCCGCACCACTGGAGTGGTCTTCTGGTCTGACCCATGGACGCCCCGCTGTGTAGTAGGGATACCTCGTCACATGGACTGAGTTGCGACGTCACCAGTTCCTCTGACCTGCGCAGGAATGCCGCCTCCGCCTCTGGCCTCGCGCAGCGGATTATGGCGACCCTCCGTGGCCACGAGGGATAAGCGGTGCGATAATAGTGGTGCCGGGTTTTATTTGCATAATGTAAGCTAATCCATAGAGTTGTGTAGTCATGAAACACTTTTGGGCAACCGGAGGGAAAGGTCAATCACTTGGGGCAAAAGATGATAACGCCTGGTAAACGTTCGTTCCGGAAGCTTACCTCTGCTCAGCGCATTTTTATGGAGCGATCCACTATTAACGGTAACGACTGCTAGACTTTTTATGAAGCTGCCCATTCTTGGTCGCCTTCATGAAAAGGATCCTTCTGGGCACCCGGTGAAGTCTGTCACTAATTTAGGGCAGTTTATCTTGATGCTCATCCTGATCTGCCGCCAACGAAAGCCAGCAGCCACCCTGCGGTGACCCGCGCGACCTCTCCTATCAGCTGAGTGACGGAAGCTCGCTTTGTGACGTCACAGTCAGACACCGCCGGCGTCACTTGTCCAGCGGGCCACGTCGGCGGCGGCGGCGCAGCCAGCGCGGCGTGGCTGGCGCATCCGGGAGGCCCGCCGGCGACGGGACCAGACGTCGCCGCGGAATGTGACGCCCGGCCGGCGCGGGAGACGACCGCTTGCCGCTCGCCGCGCCCCATTGTCAGAGCCGCTGTTTGTTTGCTTTCTGCATGATAACACAGGGAGAAAGTGTTCCGCCGGGCGTCCGCTCGCCGGGTCGAGTCCGCACCCGAATCCGCTGCTGTCTTTGCCCGCGGGCTGTTTGGCCGTGCTGCGAGCTGTGAG